CCCCCCCGAGGCTCGGTGGAAGATGCTAAATGCTCTGCACTTGACTCAGTCTGACTACTTTACTACTTTAAGGATAGACCTTGTATGTTCCGCTCCTTACAATCAACTTTTTCGACTTTCTTATCAAAAGTACCGTGTCAGAAAAGGTCCCAATACTGCTGCTAGAAATACTGTTTCTACACAAAAATGGTGCAAGTAGTCTAAAAAAATTAAAAACCATTTATTTTGTAATGTGTAAATTAAGATTATTATTTGCTAACAAAAACGTTCCAACGAAAGCATTTCTAAGGCGTTAAAACAAGTGCCAAATATGCGTAAGTTGTTTTCATCAGTCAATTTTGGCGACGTCATTCCGCGTTGGTGCGAATGCGATATACCGCTTCGAAGCAGCTGCCTTTAGGACTTTATCATACGATTATGAACCCTGACTATCTCATAATTGTGTCATATCCGGTCTGATATCTTGTATTTGAAGCGTATCTACCTTGACGGGCACGTATAAATAATTTCGCGTGCTAGTCACATGGTTTAAATTACATGCTCGCCATACATAGGCAGCAGGAGTACGAGGTGAGACGCAAGATGACAGAAATCCTTTCACACACACACACACATTCACTTCCTCATATGAAACCTTCTATCCTTCCTCTGTTACTAGCTCCGATAATATGCATTGCAAAATCCTCTATCGTATCGTAATGCAGACATTTTTATATTTATATTAAAATAGTGTCAACTTCGGACTCGTACCTACAACAATAGCCCTCCTGAGCTCTTTATCTCTCTCGAAGCGGATGTAAGGAGACTGTGGTAATTTCAGTTGTGTCTAATTTTGAAGCATTTAAGCAGTCATTGGGGTCAGGCGACCTGTGAGGGGAGTCTCTGAGGGGCTCTAAATTAACGATACGGAAGCTTTGAACTGAATATCTATCAATTGGCAAGTTCTTTAGCTCAAAGAAAAATTCATTTCACAATTCAAATTCTTGAAAACGTGTAATATTACTATTCGTCTCATTTTTTTTTTTTTTTGCTATCTGTCCCGATACAAGTCATCAGGACTGAGCTGAAAGGAAAAAATTGCACTTTACAGAAATCTGTGTAAATTATTGACTAAAAACTAATTAAACTAATTACAGCGGACGCCGTTTAGTATTATCACTCCAGGCACCAGATAATATGATAACGTTAACCAACTGATAACAATAGGCGAAAAGTTATAATTTATTGATTATCAGATGAAAATGAAAACCGTCATCTATCCTAGTTTTGCATCTGCTCCTGGTTTTCTCTGATAATTCCATCAGTACAAATGTCGTGTTCATAATGTTTCTGGAAATCAACTTACCTGTGGTAAACACCAAACCACAATATTTCTAATGCCTGCCTGATTTACGGCGGATTGTTTAATGTTGAGAGGTTTTGATATTATTTTGTCTTCTGTCAATCCAGCAGATGTAGTGATGTTTTCATCAACATTTGTGAATTCCCGAAATTCATTTTTCGTTGTGTTCGGCGGTCGAGGGCACGGAATTTCAGCAGATGAACTGCAAATAGCATTTAATCTTTCGCGAGTTGCGACCCACTCAAAACTGGGTGTAATTGAAATGTGTTTCTCTATAATGATAAAATAAAATAAAATACGTATTTCTGATTGGTAAAAAGTTGAAAAATGAGCTAATTTTCATCAGTTCGCGACCTAGCCGAATTCTGTTTTAATGTATCCTCTGGAGAACGTCTTATCAGAAAGCTTGCTTATCTAAATCTTCCTATAAAGCAATGCATTCACGATAACATTCGAAAATCTCCCTATAATTAGGAATTAATAATCGCTTCTTATTGCAAAATGCTTCAATGAACTAATTGGTGTGTCAAATTTTACTCCCTAAACAACTTCAATAATTGACTGCATTATTCCCTAGATTAATTTCAATTAATAATTCATTAAAGTAAGATTCAATAAATTGTATGATAAACGTTATTTTTGACGTTCACTTTGACTTCACCAAAATGACGTACCGAGGTCTTTCGACGTGACGGTCATTACCCGGAATTACGTCACAGATGTCTGCTGATATTGGGAGTTTGAGAACACGGACAGAAACGCAAAGGTCAGTAGATACATGGATCAGACATGGTCTTTGTTCTTGAAGTGTGGCAGATGCGGGTTCGCTAACACGTGTGCGTACAGCGGAGCTGATAACATTAAAGACAACAGCAAAGTGTAAGCTGAAAGATCACTTGTGACATAGGCGCAAGATTCTCCAGAATATTGGAAAGACAACGTCAGATTAACCGAAATCTACTGTAATTCTCCACATTGTTTCTTACGAACGACAAATACCGCCGTCGCACCAACTAAAACTATAATTTATTCCAACTTCTGACTAATATTTCCCTTCGTTCTCTCTTCTTATCCTCCATTGACGAATATGATAGCACTCATTTTTCCCCTTCAATTCTGTTGCTAAATTTGATTTCTGGAATTGCACGTTCACGTATAGTACTGCTGTCATCTACTCACACATAAGTAGAGGTTATAAGCCTGAGAAGCGGCATATTAAGAAAATACTCGATATGCTACTGTCACCTGCCACGAAGCACCTGTCCCATATTCGCACTTCCACCGCGCAATGTTGCACCAACACGACAGCGGCTGCCTGCCGCGAGTACTCACCAGCCCGAAGGCGGCGGCGAGCTGCGTGGCCCTCGCGTCGGAACAGCCGCGCCCCGGCATGCCAGTGGCGCTCGGCTGGCAGCCGCCTCCTGCTCCGCCGCCGCC